CTATAGATGTGCTTTATCTGTTGAGGAAGCTCCCTTCCAGTATTCATTTATTGAGTGATTTTATCCTAAAACAGGAAAATAGTTTTATTTTGTATCTATTGGTCATGTGATTTATTTTTACCTCATGGATATAGTATCATATATCAGATTTTCTTTTGTTGAGCCAACTTTGTAGTCTTAACATTAGTCTCACTTTGTTATGGTATACTGTTTTTTAATACAGTGCTGGAGGTGGCTTACTAATATTTCATGAGGATCTTTTGTCCATATTTCAGTGAGATACTGATAGGTAGTTTTCTTGTGATGTGTTCATCTTTGTTGTCAGTAGCATTGACCTCATAAAAAGAATTGGGAAGTGTTTCCTTTCTCTTACATTTTTCAGAAGGATTTGTGAAGAATTGGTGTTATTGTCTTTACATATTTAAAATTCAGCAAGGAGATTGTCTGGGCCTTATTGTGTGGGGGGTGGAGGGTGTATAGTTTGATGACTGATCAATTTTTCGTTTGCGTAGGTGTATTCAGATGGTGTGTTTTATCTTTCTTTTTAAATATTTTAGCTTTATACAAATGTAGTTGTATTTTGCCAAGAAATACACTTGTACACACAAGCATGTCGGAACATAGATTTCCTCCAACAGGGTCCTGTCCCCCACCTATAGCATTGGCGGCAGCAGTGCTGGTGGTGGCACGCAGTCATAGTCATGGTCAGTCAGTTGGTCTGTTTTGTATTGAATCCATTTGGTAGTTGATATCTTTCTAGAAGCTTGTCCATTTCATCAGATCTGTTTTATTTATAGATAAGACAGTTCATACAATTCATTTTTTTCTCTTTTCAGTTTTGTAAGGTTAGTGATGTCCTTCACATCTGTCTTTGCTGTTTTTCTTGGTCACTCTAGATGAAAGTTTCTTATTTTTATCAGCTTTTTAAAAAATCACCCTTTGATGTTCTTGATTTTCCTCTACTGTTTTCCTGTTTCATTTATTTTTGTGTTATGCTTGTTTTCTTCCCTCTTGTTGCTTTGAGGTGTTTTAATTCTTTTTTGTGTACCTGAAGGTTGAAAATTAGGTTATTGATTGGCAGCCTTTTTTTCCTTAGACATTGATACCTACAAATTTTGCTCCATGCCCTGTTCTAGCTTCACCCTATAAATTTGCTTTGTTCTTCCATGTCATTCAGTCCATTGTTTCTCTTTTGATTTAATTTTAATCAATTGATAAAGTTGGGTTTTACTTATTCCATATTTATGAATTTATAGTTTATTTGTTAGTAATTCTCATTTCACTTTGAACTATTTCTGTTCTTTAAATTTACTGAGGTATATTACATTCTTGTATATGACCTATCCTGGAGAATGTTTGGTTTTTGATTTGAAAAGGGTGTATGTTCTGCTCTTGTTGGGTAGGTAGTGTGTGCTATAGATGTCCGCAGGGTTTAGTTAGTGTGTAGTGTTGCTAAAGTCTTCTGGTTAGTTTTGCATTCATTACTGAAGGTTTTAGTCATTGCTACTGAATTTGTTCATTCTTACGTACCCTTTATTTTTTCTTTTCAGTGTTTTCATTTCATGTATTTTGGTATTCTGATATTTATACATATTTGTATTGTCTCTTAATACATGTACTTTATAATAAGCATTTTGTACATTTGATTTATCATATGTAATCTTTTGACTCAGTCTAAAAAAATATTGGTTAAATATTTCTCATAAGATGTGCCTGCTAGCAACACAGTCTCTTTTGTGTTTATCTGGGAGTGTTTTGCTTTCACTTTTAAGCAATAGCTTTGCTGGATACAGTTTTTGGTTAACAAGTATTTCGTTTTCTTTTAGCATTTTGAGTATGTTATCTCACCAGTTATGGCCTTCATTATTTTTGCAGAAGTTATTGTATTGTGACTTGTTTTTGTTGTTGCTATTGTTTGTTTTGTTGTTTTGGTGGTGCTGGGGCTCAAACCCAGAGCCTTCTGCTTAGTGGACAAGCTCTATATCCTGAGCTATCTCCTCAGGCAGTTGGGTATTCTTTTAAAGTAATAGATGAGTTTTCTTTTCTATTATGAAAATTTTTTGGCTTATCTTTAGCTTCAAGAATTTCTGGAGCTGGCCAGATAGCTCAGCAAACTAAAGCACCTGCTTAGGCAGGGCAGGGACTAGGGTTTGATGCCAGGGCGCACTGGAATGGTGACCAGATTGGGCACGGTGGCGTGTGCCAATAATCCCAGCCCTTGGGAGGCTTTAAGCAAGAGGATCACTACAAGTCCAGTCTGTATGGTAAGATCCTGTAGACCCTTCTTTACTAAGTATGAAAATAAATAAATGAATAAATGAACTTCTGTAAAAGCCTGTAGATCTTTATGTTTATTGTACTTGGAATGTGTGTGGGCTGGTGTTTTTTTTTTTTTTTTTTTGTAAAATGTGAGAAATTGAAGCTATCATTTCTGCTAATATTTTTGTGTGCCTTTCTCTTCTGCTTTATGTACTCCTGTATTGGTATACATAATGCAATCCCAAATTTTTCTAAATATCTGTTCATATTTCATTTGTTTATTATTCATTCTTTGGATGTCATAACCTTCCTGTTTGCTGACTTCTTCTCCAGCTCAAATCTGCTGTTGATTTCTTGAAATGAATTTTTGTAACAGCTATTATACTTTTTATTTCCAGAATTTCCATTTGATTGTAAAATTTCCCTTTATGTCTTCTGTATCTGATTTGAGTTTTTCTTTAACTGTGATTTCATTTTGGTTTTTTGAACATATTCATAATACTTAGTTTGAAGAATTTTTTTCTATTGAATTTGATATCTGGTCATTTTTTACAGATATTTTCTGTTAATTGTTTCTCCTCCCTATACCATGTGGGATCACACTGCTGTGATTCCTTGCACTTCTTTGTCCATCCACCTGCTAGAAATTAGGAAGTGTGTTATAGGTAGTACATTATACCAGCTCCAGATACTTGTTCTCTGCCTACAGGGCTAATTACTGTTACTTTTTAAAATGTTTGTTTAGTAATTGTCTAAATTACTTTAGTGAAAACAGTTCCATCTTCCTTCAACATTTCCCTGGGTAAGGGGTTGGAAAATTGCTCTGTAAACTAACCCAGTAAATTTGTGGTTCTTTTGAGAAAAATAATTGCAGAGGGCTTTGTTGATTTGTGTTCTGTAGGTTTTGACTTAATGCCCTACTACAAAGGAAGTCAGTCCTTTTGGGAACGTTGGGAGTGATCTGTTTTGATGGTCTGTCTTCTCTACAAATCTCTGAGGCTGGACTGTGAAAGAAGCAGTAGAACAATGGCATGCTTTTGTCTGAGTGACACCCCTATGTTAGAAACTGAGTTCTTCGTGGAGTAGACAGGCAGTAGACAGGGTCCCTTTGCTTGTCCTAGTGATATGTTGTGAAATGTGATTATGAAATGACAAACAGGAGTCAAGGCAAGTGTGAGACCTCCTTGCTTCCATGGAGCTTTGCCCACAGACCCTTACTGAGAGCTGAGGGAAGAAGAGAGTTACCTGCCACATTACCGCGAGTTGGTGCTGTCTCAGCTATGTGGATATGGGAGGAGATGAGAAATGCTGGTGTTCTGCTCCTCCCAGGAGGAAAGCCTTTGCCTGAGTGCTAAGGGTACAAAGAACTCTGTTCCTGATTCTGCCAGTCTCTTGCCAAATCAGGGCATTTGCAGCAGTCAGATAGAATGCTTCTGCATTGCTAATCTGGGAAAGGGGAGCGAGAGTGATTTTGGTTTGTCACAAACATGTTACCGAGGTTTGTGGAGATACCTTTGTGGAAATATTTTATTTGCTACATGCCCCTGTGGACAATTTCAGTAGGCTTTCAATGGTTGTTCTATTACAGTTTCCCTGGTTTCATTGGCAAACAGTGTGTAGAATCTAATATTGGAAGTTGATCTCATAATTATCTTCAAAGTGTTACTGTATTATGGTGAGGCAGTCTGTATTGTGAAGTATCATTTCAGAACTCTGCTAATTAGCTGTCTAGCTGGGCAATGTATATAAATTTCTAAAACTTAAATTTTACAATTCCAGAAGCAATAATAGTACTTTAATTTGAAAAGATTGTTAGGATTTATTAGATAACACTAGTAAACTGCTTGTCCTAGTACCTGGTGTATAATAAATGTTATATAAATTTTGTAGGTATACTTAGAATTGGTACGATATCATGACTTTTTGTTCCTTTTTTGTACTTACCAATAAAATGAACAACAAAGAAATTATACATATAACATCCTGTATATACTCAACATAAATTTTGATCCAATCATTTTGTGTGGATTCTTTGATAATAGAGTTTAGTTAATATAACATCCTCACATTTAGAGTATAGCTATTCCGAAAAGAAAATAAAAACATGTATTTCCAGATCATACTTGAGGAAATCTAAAGGCTTTTACGATTAGTGAAATTATGTAATTGTGTAATTGAAGGTCTCTGTATTTAACACAGGTTGTATGACTCTGAAATCAACTTAATGTTTGATAACTGCTACATAGAAGTAGATATATGTATGGAAATTTTTAAATAAAGTTACAGGAAGGATTTGCCGCACTGTGTTTTAAGTGCCAGGCACTAGGTTTTAAATTACATGTAAAAATTTCACATATAGTCTTGATTCATTAAAACATTCTAATGGTTAACTCTAAAATGACCACTGTTAAGTAGAAGGATGTAAGGAAAATGGTACTCAGGACTGAAAAACTCAGAGCACTATGTTAAAAAGCCAGAACTTTACAATTTCATTTGGTTGTAATAAGAAATACTAAGTGTAAGAGTTTATTAAAATCATAATTATTTTAAAAAGTTAACTCATAATCTTTAATTGTATAAATATAAATAGCTTTTTTAAAGACGAAAGCTCCTTCTCAGTGTTAAGATTTAATTTTCTTGTTATTTATTAAACTTTTCTTCCTTTGTTTGATAGGATATTAGTAACTTAAAAAGCTAATTTCGAGCTAATAGGCATTTTATTTGCTTTCCTCTTTTACTAGTTATTTGAATTACTTGGACCTGAAGGACTTGATCTTATTGAGAAGCTTCTCCAGAACAGAATAACAATTGTGGACAGATTCCTTAATTCGTCAAGTGATCATAAATTTCAGGCTCTTCAAGGTAAGAGTTTGTATAGTGGTAATGCTAACTTAAAAGAAAGATTCACTGGTTCACACTTATATCACATTATATTTTTATATCCTTTGGTCTATTATATTTTGCTAGTTCTATTCCGTTAAGTAGGTTTTAGGTATGGCAGAGTATAAAAAACTTCAAAAGATTCGAATAGGGTATGACAATGTTTCAGTGTGATTTTTTATTTTTCCTGTATTTAGGACAGGATCTACATGGTCTACAGGGTCTCACTACATAGATCAGACTCATAATGATCCTCCTGTTTTCAGCCTCCTAAGTGCTGGGAGTACAGGCATGCACTACCATGCCCAGTCTCAATCACTGTCTCATTGTGCCCTGAGGGTAGGGCTGGCATGGCATATTGGGGATTGAACCCTGGCAACTTCGCTGTGCCTAAGCAGGCACTTTAGTCTGCTGCGCTATCATGCTGGCCCTCTCAGTGTGATATTTTTTGTAAAATGTGACATCACTTACAGTAGCTAATAATTTTTTAAAGCAAATATGTACAGTATTTACCATGGACCAGGTAGTACTATAATTTCTCCTCAACTTTGAAACTGATAGGTATAAGAATAATTTATTGAACACTTGCACACCTTCATCAATCATTAATATTTTGCTTCCATTGTCCCTTTTTCTAAACACACACATCATCATTTAAAATTTTGGCTGTGCAGTGATTGAGAATTGCAGACATTGTGGTATTTCACATATAAAATTTTTGCCACAATGTAAGAACAATGACGGTCTCTAAGTGAGATTCAGTCATCATGCTCTGCATATTGAACACATGTAGAATCACATACAGTTTTAAAAATTTCAAGAAAATTACAAATTTAACTAGGAAGCCAAAGCTATAAAAAAATTTCCTGACGTATGATAATACAGTGGTGCCACACTCAGATTTTAAGTGATAGACATGAAAATGAAAGTTCTTACCTTTACCCAAATTTATATCCCAGCTGAACAAATAGTTTAGGATGTTTAAAGCATAAAAAATATGCTTACAACATCTAAGTTGATTTCTGAATAAGTTATATAATGATTATAGCACTTAAAGGAAACATTAAAAACAGCCTTGATTTTAAATCCAGAACTTCTACGGTATTGACAAGATGTTCTTAGAGGCTTAGTGTTGTGTTGAAATTGTTAGATACTTGGAAGATTGAATTTGGCCTGTCTGTGGGGGTCCTAGGTGTACTGAACAGTTTTAAAGTGTCTTTCTCCATGAGGGATTCCGCCTATAGTACAGTACCTAGTGGGACTCATTGCAGCAAGTCTGTATGGGTTTGGGAACATTAAAAATAGTTACCTGTGAGTGAAAAATGAATGAATTAAACATCCAGTCCTATGATATAAGTTCTAAGAATTTAGTGTTTCTTTTGTTAGTCTCCTAAATGTTATAGTAGAGATGTTTACTGATTCTAACATTTAATAGCAGCTTTAACATAAAGGGGAGTCCATTTGAAAACTGTAGATGATGAACTGGTACTTTTATTTATGCTTGTTATGTTTCATTACTTCTGTTTCATAGATTAGCTTAAAAGAAATACTTAAAATAAATGTTTAATGTAAATATTTAATTAATATGTTTGAGTCATTAGTCTTCCCTGAGATGTTTTCTACTCTTCTCATGCTATCGTTTCTCTTATTCCATATTAGATCATTACTAACATTGCTGATATTTAATAATGATAATTAAACTGTTTGAAAGTTTTGCTATTCAAACAAATAAATTTAACATTTCTAAGGGCTGTAAAAAAGAACTTGACACTTTTTTTGAAAGGTTTTTTTAAGTTGGGTGCAGTGGTGCTTGTCTGTAGACCTAGTATTCTGGGAGGTGAAGCCAGGAGGATCCCAAGTTTGAGTTCACTCTGGATAAAGTAGGAATGTAGAGAGACCATGTCTCTAGATAAAAAATAAAAATGTCTCACTTGCTCAGTGAGAAGGCCCTAGTTCAAGCCCCACTACTGTCCAGAAAAGGAAGAGGGAAAAAAAAAAAAAAAAAAAAAGATAAAAGGTGGTTTTCTAGGTTTTTGTTATATGTGCATGAAAAATTATTTTTTTTAATATTTTAAATGAGAAAATACTTTTGAAGAAAGACATTGGAAGAATTTTGTTCATCATTGTTTATACTTATTTGAATATTTTGACATGTTTTCTGTTTAATGATTCTCCAGAGTTCTATTTAGCAAATTTTATTTTTTCTTTATAAACATAGTAAGTTTTTAACCATGTCCCATCCTTTTCTTTATCGAAATCACTGTTAGAGTGTAGTGCCTTGTCATTTAGCATTTTCTAGCACTTTTGCTGATTTTTGAGTCTTTATCTATATCCGTATCCCTCCTATTCTATAAGAATTTGTTAGTAGTTGTTCAGAGTAGAAAATATAGACATGAAATATTGTCCAAAAAAATATTAGCTCAAAGCTTTCTTTTAAGTGAACTAAGAGAAACTAGTTGTATACCTGTCTTAACTATCTTATGTATATGTGTGTGTGTTTTTTTTTCCCTTTTCCCTTCCTTCCTTTTTTCCCATTATAGTATTTCTTTTCTTTTATAAAGTTTCTTCCCATTCACAATATCTGTGGTCATTTTGGATCTTATTTACTCTTTCAGTTTCTCAAACTAATGAATTTTAGTATATTCTGAGACCTTATAAATGTTTCAGTGAGGCAGATGTATACTCCTTTAATTTTAATTTCCTTATTTGGATGATCACAAGTATGTATAAAACTATTTTATCACATTTACTTAAAATATTAATGACAGTACCATGTAGTATATAATATGTCACCTAAACTACTTACAATTTCACACTTTCAAAAATGTTTAATACCTATTTCTGATAGCAAAATGGTGTTATTGACACTTTGAAATATTTTGCTTATTGTCTGTTGCTGATAGTGTAAGATGCAGACAAATTATTTAATTCAGAGTACACATGAAAACTATCAGAATGCTGATTGCTATTTCTGTTATTGAATATTAACCATAAGTTCAATTATTATAATACTGGTATAAGACTCACTCAATGTCTTATAAGACTTAATTGGAACATACTTTTTAAAAAACTGTTCTAATATTTTAAAATTTAGTTCCAATACAGATGGAATCATGTTTTGTAACTTTGAGGTAAGCTTTCAATTTTGCGGCTTATAAAGTGGTTTGTGAGGAGGTAGATTATTTTATGTGATGGAAAGTTGAATGACCTCCTTGAAGTCATATGAAGAGGCATGAAGATATCTGATAATTGTAAAGATTTGACCAAGAATGAATTGCAAAGCAGATTTTCTTTCCTGTTATTAAAATTCTTGGGGGCTGGGGAGATGGCTCAGTGGAATAAGTGCTTCCCTGGCAAGCACAAAGGCCTGGGTTCAATCCCCGGTTCCAAAAAAAAAAAAAAAAAAAGAAAGAAAGAAAAGAAATGAAAAAAAGAAATGAAATAAAATAAAATAAAATTCCTCCCATGTTCTATATTGGATCTTGTAATTGGATGAAATAATTTGGACCACAGTCTGTCAGAGTATGGACTAAATCTCATTCCTTCTTGTCTTTCAAACCTAGCAACAGTGCTAGGATGTAGTAGATCCTCAATATAGTAAATGTTTTTTGAGTTGGTTTGTTGTAATGACATTCTTGTCAGTTCTTTAAGGCTGCAGTGAACCAAAGTACTAATTCTTAGATATAATTAAAAAGAAAGTAATCCTGTTAGAAGAAAATTGATACTGCATATTGAGTTTACCAAATGATAGGCATACTTACATTCCTCTTCTTTCCTTCTCTTTTTCTTCTCTCTCCTCTTGCCTCTCGCCCCTTGCCCCTCTCTTCTCTTCTCCTCTCCTCTCCTCTCCTCTCCTCTTCTCTCTTTTCTTTCTTTGTTGTTATTTCAGTATTGGAGGTTGATGGTCTGGGGATATATAGCTCAGTGATGTAAGTGCCTGTCTGGCAAGCACAAGGTCCTGAGTTTGATCCCTGGTACTGACAAAAACAAAACAAAAAACAAAAAAAAAAACAGTATTGGAGACTGAAACCAGAGTGTTTACTCTGAGCTACACATCTCATCCCTTTTTTATTTTAAATTTTTTTTTAATTTATTTATTTATTTTGTGTGTGTGTGCCCAGCTCAGCCCACCAGGGGGTGGGGCTGGCTGGCATGTGGTGCTGGGGGATTGAACCGCGGTCCCAGTGCCTTGCTTAGCTTAGCTTGCTCTAAGTAGGTTCTCTAGACCACTGAGCCATCTCACCAGCCCCTTTGTTTTAATTTTGAGGCAGGGTTTTCCTAAGTTGCTAAGTTGCCTGAGTTGGGCTTGACTTTTTGATCTTGCTTTGTCAACTTTCCCAGGTGCTGGATTTATAGGCATGTACCACTGTTCCCCATTGGTTCTTTCATTTCTTTTGTAAACTGCATGTCTTATGAAAAAATATGCCATGTTCTTGCTTAATTTGCTTTGGCCATTATTTATAAACATCTCCTGAACTAATGCTAAAAAGAAAGTATTTCATTATGAATAAATCATAACATATTTTCAGCTTAACAGAATAAGATCTGTTACATAGGAAAAAGTCATAACTAATATGTAAAAATTTTTATTTTATTATTATGCTAATCATAATTACAATTAATACTGATAGTTACTATATTTTTGAAATTGCATAAATGGTTTTGAGATTATAAATTTAATTTTTATGTCACTGATGTTATATGCAAGAATTTGTTAGTAACAATAAACTATTGAATTTGTAGCAAAATATTGCTGACTTTTCTTAAGTCACTATGCTATATCACTTTAGAATTTTTTAATTTATTTGATACAGGGTCTTGCTATGCAGTTCAGACTCGTAGTGATCCTCCTGTCTCAGCCTCCTCAGTGTTGGGTTCACAGACGTGTACACCATGTCTGGTTTGGGGGCTGTCATGGTGCACAGGGGTTCTGGGGCCAGGATGGCATGTGGTACTGGGGATCAAATTCAGGTCCTTGCACTTGCCAGCCAGGTGCTTAGCCTGCTGAGCTATCTCCCCAGCCCTCATTTAAACATTGTTATTTAAAGAAGTATCTTTAAGCATATAATTGAATAGATCAGCTTTAAAAAGTGAATTGTTAGGGTTTTGTGCTATTTTGCCTTTTAGTACAGAAAAAATTGTTTGCATGAAGGTCAGTTCACATCTGAGACTTACATTTTGTTATATTTTAAAATTTGCTCTTAGACAATTGCAAAAAAATTTTGGGAGAGAATGCTAAACCTAATTATGGTTGTCAAGTCACTATTCAGTCTGAACAAGAAAAGCAGTTAATGAAACAATATCGCCGTGAAGAAAAGAGAATTGCTAGACGAGAAAAAAAGTATGGAGAAGATGGAGAAATTTCTGGAGAAGGTGTTACATGTTTTGATCCTAAGGAATTGAGGCTACACAGGTAATGAAAGTGAGAAGCTGAAAAATACATGTTGTAGTTTCTTTTCTGCATATTACAATTTTTTTAAAGCTTTTGCAGTATAAATGATTCTTACACTATAGTCTCAATTTCTTGCAAGAAGATAATTTTGTTGTATAAAAATCTGTTTTTCTAGAGTAAAAAATGCAATTATCTACTTTGTTAAGATATCCTTCCTTGTATCAATATAGGTAATAGATTAAGATTATAGAAATAAGATATTTCTTTATTAGGACATTTTTGTAGTACATGTTACTTTCCTTGTGGGGAATTGGTATATGTACATAACACATCTAGAATTAAGCTACTTACAAGCAAAATACTGACAGCTCAGTTTAAGTTATATAAAGCCTGCGTGAATTTATTTTGATATTTGATTTTTATTTCCCAGATAAATAATGTTTTCTTTTATTATTGTTGTTATTTAGAAATCGAAAAGAAGAAAATGGAGGAAAGACTTGATTCTTTAAATACCAAAACAGTTTTGAAAAGGAATTTATGACTTGTTAAACATATTTGGATTAAAAGAAAATAAAATTATAAAGAAAGAATATTAAGGCCAATTCATGGAATAATGTTATTTAAAAATGTGCCAAATTCTTTTTTCTTAGTAAAATTTTTTCTGTTTTGCTAATATCTTTATCTAACTGAATTTCTTCTCTTTATAATGGAAAACTACCTGAAATAATGACCTTTTTAGTATATTCTTTCCTTTTCACAATGAAAATGATAACTTGGCCTGTTGTTTTTGTATTTACAGGGAGCAAGCACTTTTGAATGCTAGAAGTGTTCCCATTCTGAACAGGCAGAGAGACTCAGACATTGAGAAAATACGTTTTCCCCATGTTTATGATTCTCAGGCTGAAGCCAGGAAGACATCAGCATTCATTGCTGGTGCAAAGGTATGACATTGGTATATAAACACTTGTATTGTCTCTGTTCTGAGGAAATGCTGTATGATTATTTTGTTTGTGTGTAGAGTAGTAGTTTAGTAGAATGTGTTAAATTTTATTTAAAATGTAGGAAAATGATATGTTTCAGTGTAAAGTTGCTAAAACAGTACATATTAAGTACATACTTGTTTATTTCTATTACTATTGTTGTAATTTGTATTTTTCAGTTAAACCTACATAGTGCACATTTTCCTACATATGTGTGTACATTTGTTTTCAGTGATATCATATAATTAATTAATAATTAATGCCTTAACATGTAACAGTGTGCTGTATATTTCATATCTGATGGATAAATGTTTTATGTGTGCTTATATATTTTTGTTTTTTTAGTTTATTTGCATTAAAATTAGCTGAATGTATTTGACAGTGACATGTCAAAAATGCTAATAGTATTGTCTGACTCTTCATTTGAAAAACTTTAAACAGTTGTTTTATATAACATTATTATTGGATTCTTATTTTTGACGTTTATAGATGATTTTACCAGACGGAATCCAAAGAGAAAATAACAAACTTTATGAAGAAGTAAGGATTCCATACAGTGAACCAATGCCAGTTGGCTTTGAGGAAAAGCCAGTTTATATCCAAGACTTAGATGAGGTAAGATGAGCCTTTTTACCTTTTATACTTTTGAGAGTTGAATGTGTTATGAGTAGATTTGTGTTAGAAAATTGTTTTTAAAATTAGTTGGCCAATATAGTGCAGAGACCTCCTAAAGTGATATATGAACACAGTTTAAGAATGTATGCATATAAGTGTATGTTTATATTTTGTATATATATATGTATTTTATATTTTCCTGTTGGACTATTTCAGTTAGTTTTTGGTTTCAATCATGCAAGCCAACTTGAGTAAAATGTTTTCTAAAATTCATATATGTAGTGACACATCAAATGGTCAACCACAATAAAAGAAAGTACTTTGGAGAGGGAGTTATGAAACATTTTCTCACTTTAATTTTGAATAAATTCAGACCTACATAAAAGTTACTTGAGTAATGATATATACATTCTTTATTTAGATTCACCATTTGGTATAATATTACTATACTTGTTCTATCTCAAAATAAAATAGATCTTTAATATAATAATCATTTGAAATTAGTCTTTCTATCAAATGCTTTTTTTTTTTTTGGTGGTACCAAGGATTGAACTCAGGATCTTGCACTTGCCGGGCAAGCACTTATTCCACTGAGCTATCTCCCCAGTCCAAATGCTTTTTGAAAAAATGTGTTACATATGTATAGACAAATATGAAATAATATAGCTAAGGAGACAGCATTGAAACAACATAAAGATATGTTAACTATCCAAATTCAGACCTCAGAATAACCAAGATTAACTCTATTCTTTTATATTTAATATGTATTTTTTGCAAAGATACCATCATGTTTTTATGTATGTGTGTACATATATGTGTACACACATGTACATCTTTCTTTTAATCACATTTTATTTTATTTCATGTCTTTGTCACTTGAAAAGCAATTCATTATAATTTTAAGTTTCTACAATAAATTTTTATGATGGAGTAAAATTTAATTATATCCTTTAGCAGTGATTTTTCATCCTGTGCATCAGAATGACCTATAGAAATTTTTCAGAATGCAATTACATCTATTCTTGATTAGATCATAACTTCCAGGGAGTGGTCAGATGCAAATATTTTGAAGATTGAAGCTGCCTAGTTAATTCTGAAACACTGTTTTGATTTTTTCCAACTTAGGTCACCAATTCATTTCTAAATCATTTTCTTTCCCTTCGTTAGAGGCATTGGGGTTCTTAGGATTGTGGTGCATATTCTCATCAACTCTCATGAACCATCAGTAGTCAAAGATGGGTTTCCCAAGTTACTATTATTACCCTTTTAAAATAAAGACGAGAAACATTGGACAAAGATGGAGCTGTTTTTGAAATTATGTTCTAAATTGTTGTTATTATAAAATGTCTTGTATTTGTACATTTCAGAGTTTTTAAAATAGTTAATTATTGTATCATTTGACAAAAATGTGCCACTGACACAAATGTAATGTTTGGTTTGGAAGTATAAAAGATGTCTAAAATGTTTAATTCAAGTGGAGATGAATATTGTGGGCATAGGATTTTGCCAGATAGATGTATAACAGGTAAAGAGTGCTACATACATAGGTTGTGTGTGAAGAATGACAACAAATAAATTTATAAAGAGAGTTAATAGTTTGCCCTGATAGGCTTTGAAAAACTATACTTTTAGTTATCGAGGGCAGGTCATAGTTGGCCTAAGTTCTCTGTTGAGGGTCTCACAAGGATGAGTCCTAGGCTTGGCTAGATTGAGCTGCCATCCAAGAGCTATGTATGGGATTGGTTTTCTTCCAAACCCAATAACATCGTTTACTAAGTCTAATTTTCTTGCACTTCTAAGACTGAGATACTATCTTGATTACTTTTCTTTCATTGCTGGGACAAAATATCTGACACCCAAAATTAAGGAAGGAAAGGCTTGTTTAGCTCTGTGTTTGTGGAGGTTTCAGTCCATAATCAGCTGGCTCCAAAGCAGAGTAGCACATGGCAGAGGGCAGCAGCTCATGTTGGTAAAAACAACAGTAAACAGCAAGAGCAAAAGACAGGAGCAGTGGCAGAGAGCAAGCTTCTGTCCCTTCCTTATATTGCATTCAGGGCAGGTGTAGCACTCACACTTATAATCCCAGTGACACCCATATGTAAGCACTGGATCATGAATTAATTACAAACTAGATGCCTGCCCCATGACTTCATGAGATTCTGGGGGACATCTAAACCCAAACCATTACAGATACCTATCTCCTTACAGTCTGTTGTGGGTGGTCATCACTTCCTGAATGCTGCCTATATGTCTTCACAAGTGGCCCCTCTATCTTTAAGCCTAGCAAAGAAGTATCAAATCTACTTCAAATCTCTGACTTTGGCTGCTGGCTGCTGAAAAACTTTAAATTAAAAAAAACAAAACAAAAAAAAAAAAAAAAAACCCTCATGTGATTAGATCAGACCAACAAGATAATTTTCCTAAATAAAAACTGCTGTTTCATATAGCATGACTTAACAGGGGAATAGTCTGTCACCTTTGCAGTCTTGCTGTTGATGCAAGATGTACATACCATGAGCCAAAGTCAGGAATAGGATAGGAAATCTTGCCTTCTCTGTGGTTTTCACCAAGGTTTTATGCTTGGAATTGAGCATTTTGAACCATTGAGTTTACTATTCTTATCAAATATGGGAGGTTTTCAGTGATTATTTTTCAAAACTTTTCTGCTGCATTCCATTTTTCAGAAATTTTAAGCATATATATTTTAGATCTGCTGACATTGACATACGGCTCATAGATGTTATATTAAATTGTTTTTCATCTTTTTCTTTCTTCATGCTTCACTTTGGCAATTTCTGTTGACTTGCCTTCATATTTACTAATCTTTTTTCCCTGTGGTATCTAGAATGAGTGCTGTTAACCTCATTTATGTACTTTTCTCCCAGGCATTGGAATTTTTTTTCTCTCTCTAAGTTTGATTTGTGTCTTTTTACTATCCTTTGAGATTTCTATACACTGTTGCAATCACTTCTATAGCCTGCAGGCCAGCAAACTTTTTCTGTATGGGGCATTTCTTCTGGTTTTTGGCATGCTTGGTAATTTTTGATTGAATAATAGATAAGATTTTAATCTGTTGAAAGCTAGATTTTTAAAGATTCCTTTAACAGTTATTAAGATCGTTCCTGAAACAGTTTTGTTTGGATAAATTTGATCGTTTTAGGCCTTGCTTTTTAAAATTTCATACATGGACTGGTGCAGCATTTAATCTAGAGTTACCCATTTCTCTAGGGGTGAGGGATGGGACAAAATTGACCAAGTGGGAACCCATGTTACAGGTAAACAATAGTAAAAGGATCGTTGAATTTAGAACTGTACTTAGAGTACAGACCCTTGTTCCAAAGGTGCATTTCTGTGAGAATGAGAACTTTTTTCTTTTTTACTAATAACTTGTCTAGGAAAGCAGTTAGCTATTGGGGCCATCAGAGAGACGTAAGAAAATATACATCTGAACTTGCTGTAATTCCAAATGTCCACAGTTGTCTGCTGCTTTTGGTTCAAAAAGAAAAATAAAATCAACAGATAATCAATGAAAATTCATTTAAAATTGAGAGGGTTTTTTGGTGTGTTGTAATGGAGTAATAATTCCCTGCTTCAGCAGGTTGTTTTACTTCATTCCTTTAGAGATGTGTTTCTCAATTTATGGGATGTATTTTAATTGTAAAAATAGTTTAAATATTTTAATTTCTCTGTATATTTTTATTTTGGGCATAATTTATCTTTATTTGTTCTTCCTGTCGTTACTACATTTTCATCTCATATCTAGTTATTGGCAGTAACTTATTACCAAATTGATTTTCTTTCCCCACTAATGACTGATGTTGGCATCTTTCTATTTAAATTTTCTTTTCCTTTGTTCCACAGATTTTCACCCCCAGCACTGATTATTAATTATTTTTTCTTATATATTATTTTTGATAGTACAGCATGAACTGCATTAAGAATTCAGAGTCCCTGAGTGATTATCTTTTAAATAAACATTCCAATAATTTTTGATAATGTACATTCTCACGTGAAGTGAGTTTTTATATTATAGTGTAATATAGTCAAATCAAGACAGATACAGGATTTATGTTTCATGTCATATATAGAGGCAAATTCCTTTAGATCAGTTCCTGTAACTTTGTAACTTGTCTTAGAGGTTACTTGGTCTACATTAAAACCTTTATGATAATTTTATGGTTGTTTTCAAGCTCTATTTTTTTCCTGGAAAAATAAATTGAATTCTGAAGTTCATGTAGGAATTTTGAAGTGTGTGTTCAGTGGTGCTGAACCTGTGTCAGTCATGCTGCAGTGGGTTGTTTATATCATTAAAAGCTCTAAAAGTTTCACATCGCTCTGTTAATCTGATGTCACTGGTGCTACATATTACTTATTTTCTGTACTGTTGAGTCTATTTTCCCTAGTGTGTACAAAATAGATGACTCAGTTTCAGTCTTCTACAGTACCGGTTTTCATTTTCAACTGCATGAAGCTACGTATGTGATGGGTTCAGAAATATGTTAATAGTGTTTATTTATTTATTTATTTATTCTGTTTATTTATTCTGTTATTGCAGTAGCAAGTGGAATACCACTTCAGTTAATTCACAAAGTTTTTGAGTACAGTAGTCCCTTGCTATTTCATGTTTCAACTTTCATGGACTGTTTTGTGGGTTTTCACAAAATATTAATCTAAATTGTTTGTCTCACATCTTTTGCTATATAGCAGGATTTTTAGTACCATACAGTAAACATATGCCGTTAAATTTACATAGGTTTACAAGTTTAGGAAATGGTTTAAGAATATTAGAAGTGCTTTTAAAAGTGTGGGAAAGGTTTGTAAGTGTATGGGAAGGATTTATAAAGCCTTAATATACATCTATATGTATATATATA